GTCCTGTACAAATAGCTCTTTCAAATGTTCGAAAGCAAGTTTACACTTTTCATCAAATACAAAAGGAATATCTTTGTGTGTCAGCTGTGTAAGTGGGACTACAAGGTCGGAATATCCTTTGATAAACGTGCGGTAAAAATTAGCAAATCCAAGAAACCCTCTTACTCCCTTAACTGTTGTTGGAACCTCCCATTCACATATAGCTTTAATTTTCTCCGGATCCATGCGGATTCCGTGTTCTAAATCGATGATGTATCCCAGGTATTTTGTACGCCGTACTTCGAATTCGCACTTTGTAATATCTAATGTGAGCCCACCCTCTCGTAAGATACTTAGTACCTTCTTGACTTTATCTCGATGATCTTCCTGGGAACCCTTTGAATAGATCAAAATGTCGTCTATATATGCCGTGCAGAAGTCGTCGAGATATCCTCGTAGAAGCCAATTGATGTACCTTTGGAATGTTGCAGGCGCTCCTGTAAGTCCAAAGGGGACCACATTCCACTCATAGAGCCCATACCTTGTACGAAAAGCAGTTTTCCACTCCTCTCCCTTGGATATTCGAATTTGATGAAATGCTTGACTAACATCAAGTTTCGTCAACCACTTAGCATCACTTAGAGTCCTTAAAGTTTCTCGTATCAGTGGTAGCGGATAACGATCTTTTTTAGTGATCGCATTAAGTGCTCTATAATCAACGCAAAAACGCACACCACCATTAGCCTTTTTTACGAAGAGTATAGGAGCCCCAGCCGATGACTTGCTCACCCGGATAAAATCTTTTTCCAAAAGTTCGGTCAGTGTTTTCCTTAGTACTAACAATTCATCTCGAGAGTAATTATACATTGAACACCAGGGCACGGATTTATCTTCTCCATTCTCATCTTTCTCTAGAGGTATATGATGGTCAATTTCGGGTCTATGAGGAGGGAGCTTGTTTGCTTCCTCTGGTTGGAAATTAACCACAAATTCCGGTCCTAACCAGTTGGGCATGTAATCTACTGGGTCTACATCCTTTTTTGGCGCCAAAGCTTTATCAATGTCTGCAAGCGTTACCGCATATGCCTGGATGCTTGAGTGAGATAATTGTTGTTGTTTAATTAAGGCAGCATAGGTTTTCGGGCTTATCAATGTTGGACGACTTTGTACTTTTGAAAGACGTGACTTATTTGGAACAATGTGACCTGACTTTTCAAACTCTAGAGCTTCGGCAGCTTCATTTACATGAACCTGATTGTGTACAAGAAAGGCACGTCCAAGCATCATGCTCTGGGTCTGATATGGCACAATATATGCCCATATATCTTTTTTAAATCCGGCGAGATCTACACTAAATTTTGCAGCTTGTGTAATAGTTGACTGAGCTCCTGTTATGAAGCCTTCCATTTTTCTGGCTTTGATATTTACAGTCTGTGGATTATGTTTTCTTATAAATTTATCATTAACACTGGCGTAAGATTGGCAACCGTTATCAACAAGAACTTCTTCACATTGCACTTCATTTATAATAGCATCAATCAAGAATGATGGTGTTTCCATTTTTGTTCCAAACTCACACCATTCTTGCTGCAATGTTTTAATTGGCTCTTGTCTCCTCCAATTATCTAATCTCCGGAGCTCCGCAGCACAACTTCGCGGCGGAGCTACTCGTTTTCCGAAAGTCCTTCGCAATTTCTCACATCAATTTCCGGCTCCGCCATTACCATTGCTGGATCCACTCTTCTAACAGCCCTGTGGTTATTGATGGGTCCCAGTCTTTCATTTACTGGTGGCAGATATGGACAATTTCGCTGATAATGACGACTACTTCCACATCGCACACAACAGCCTGCATCATGCCTCGCTTGTAAAGTCTCCCTGGATACCCTTTGTGCACGAGGTCGCTGATTGGGAGCACTGGTCGCTTGAGCTTGATTACTAATGGTTGGCATCCAGTCCATTGGCGTATGAGCCTCACTAACTGCTGCAGACGGTTCAGGAATCCATGTGGGCACTCGTGATGTGGTTCTTCTTCCGTGTAGAGCCTCTTCGTTTGCCATTGCTGAGGCTGCAGTTTGAAGATCAAGAATGAGGTCTTCATACTGTGAGTAATTCTTGGTCTTTGGGAGACAATCACGGAAACGGGAGTTTAAGGCCGTACGTAAGAACATAACTTTTATTGCATCCGCCATACAAACCCCTGCATTCGCCAACTCTTTCTCAAACTTGGGATAGAAATTTGCAAATGATTCCCTTTCTTGCTGCTTCATAGACTTTAAATTTGTCAGCGCTTTTGTCTTTGCTGCAGGATCACCATATAGTTTCTCCATCTCTTGCAAAAGTCCTTCAAAAGTTGCTGTCCCTGCTTTCAAATTCTGAGATACCCATGGTGTGACATTTTTTGCAGCTGTATCTTTCAGCTTATTAAATACAGCATAAAACTGAACCATTGGATCTGGTCCACTCGATATCGCTCTGCCATAGGCCTGTAATTGCCATGTAGGCCATATGGATCTATCTGCACCAGTGAACTCTACTAGATCTATTTTGGCAGCTGATTGTGATGAAGAAACTGTTTGGGTTTGATTGGTGACAGACTTTGCAATGAGATTTTCTAAAACAGTTCGTATCCCCGCTTGCTCTTCCTGAGTTCTTTGGAGTGAAGTAGTGAGTTCCTGCAATGTACAAATATAATTTCCAGCCAATCCTTCTGGTTGTAAAGGTTGATTTGAACTATGGCCTTGGTCACTCATCTTGATTAAACTTTGGTACAATATTTTATTATTCGCTTCGCTTCGTTTCGTTTCGTTACTCTGTCTGTTCGTTCGTTTCGTTTCGATATAAATGTTGCTCGATACTGTTAGATTTCCGATGAGGGTTTGAAAGTGTTAGTGAGATTAAATATAATGTCAGAGGAAAGCTAAGAATGATATAGTTGGGTCTGAATCATGAGCTATATTTAATCTAAAGAAAGAAAGTTCTATGTACACGAAATTATCATACAAACTGTGTGCCGAGGCCGGAAGATTATCAGCCGAGCCTAACCAGATCAAGATGAGTATGATTAGGCGAGCGCATGCTTAGTACAGTTCACAACTGTTACAGAGATGCTGGTGTTTGTCGGAGGACAGGTCATGATCTATTTTTAGAATGGTATGAAATGAGGGAACGAGATCATAGTCTTGTAAATAAATAGGAGGCTTTCAGTCATGTCTCTGCTCGTTACTTTAAGATTTTCATTTGTATCTAGCTCTGAGTTCAGTTTGAAAAAAAACGCCACTTTAAGACTGTCACAATTATATATCACCCTCACAATTTTCTACTGCCAAAGAATAGTATCAGGAAGGAAATACCAAAGTGTCTTATGTCCAGTCTGCGAGCCAACTAGCTGACAGAATAGCAAAAGCCAAATCTTAGTATTCATAAACTAACATCCATATCTGGGTATCATGGCTGTTACCGACAGGGGGAGTGTTATGATATGAAACAACGAGGTAGTCGAGGCTAGGGCATTGCGTGTGACTCAAGGCCACAGCATCCATCACTAGTGTACTGGTTAGGCGAGCATGTATATAGTTTCATAGATGTACCCACAATAAATGGACACAGGTTTACTCTTATACTTTCTGTCCACATACCTACAGTATAGTATTGTATGAGGCTACTCACTGTCAACCACAAATTATAACATCATCCACTCCTCATCACTCTGCAATGTGACTTCCGCATAGCTCATAACCACAACATTGCACCCAATATTCCAGACAGGCTATATACTCTCTAGGGACCAGTGCTAGTCATACCAGAAATGGTGATCAAAGAAGCCACCCTCAAAACCGGCATCAGACCAACATCTGCTCGCGCTTTGCGACTAGCATAGCAAGGCCATCTACAGACTGGGTGCTAAATTACGCGACAGGAAAACCAAAGCTTGGTGAACGACTATTTGAAGAAAGTGATTGGCTGCACAAACTCCAGCGCAAGCCAAAAATTGCTCAATGCAGCCAATGTTGGGGACACCACCCTACAAAGATCTGCTTGCGAGAAGAACGCTGTTCACGATGCGGCTCTATCGAGCATAAGGCCACTGTTGGTACATGTCGGAGTTTGAAGTCTTTATTCATATGATGTAATGTTTACGTAATTAGAAATACTTAATATAACTACTTTCATAGTTTAGATAGAAGAACAGATCCAATTGCAATACAGTCATCAACAGTGCAGTATTTGGAACCCCGGTGATTCCAACACTAATTAGTGATATCACAAATTAGGAGACCGGAATTAATCAGACCAATCAATAGTGAACTAGGTATTGCACCTCTTTCATGGTGACAGATTAGGAAGAAAGATTCTTGCCTCAGTTAGTATACATTCGAAGAGTTGAAGTTCAAGGTATTGCACTCTGTACTTCATCTATGATCAATCAATCTACGTAAGTTCACAAAGCAACATCGACCTGCTCTGAGCATCCAAAATACTCAAGATGTCTGACAACAAATCCACTGGATCTGCCCTTATCAACACTGAAGACTCATCATGTCTGAAAATAAATTTGAGCCTGACTTCCTCCAAAGACCTTAGACACTACGCCAGTACCAAATTTCAGTTTTACACCAACAAAGGCCCATTTGATGACAATCTCTACAGCCTATTCCATTACGACTTCGCCGGCTGGCAATTCTCTCACTTCAAACATTGCGGACTCCGTCTTGCCCAAAAGTTAAGAAAGCTCCTTTGTCAAGGTAGTATCTACATGCCGAAATCAAAATCAGACAAAGTGTTTAACAACTTGGCAAACGCCCTGAAGTTTGATTTTGAACAATGGACAGAAGACCAAATACTGAACGTCTTACAAGATTCAGCATTTTCATTCACATCGCCAAACATATCATGCAAAATTAATTCCAATCCTGATCTCTACAAAATTGCATACTATAACTGTCAAAAGAAGATCACAAATATCCCACCTCCGCCTTTTTCCGGATTTCTCAATTGTCTACAATCATCTATCACATTTTATGACGAAATTCATCCTAAATACTCAACAGGTGTCTTCTACACAGACTGTCAATTCCACAGGAATGATCCTCAAGGGATCACGCCACGTGAAAACTCACGGGGTCGCAGCAACACCAGATACCACAACAACAATTGCTACCCTTCTAAATCCAAATATCATTCCAGACACCAGTCACCAAGCTTCTCCAAATCATGCATTGTCTGCAACAAAGAAGGCTATGGGCCAAACAAACACTCAAAAGCTGAACATGAAGAAGCCTTTCAGCACCTTCAAACCCAAAAGAATAAGTATAATAAAAGATAAATCTAATTTGTTGCCAAATGTGGTCAGCCAGAATCAGCCATCCCCGAATTGATTCATTTAAGCCAACTCATGTCCGACCTCGACCTCCCTGACTCCGAGGAATTCAACGAAGTTTATTTCACCAGGTTCGGGCCTATCAACGGAAAGAAATACGTCACAGAACTCAACAATGAAGCCTCCGTCTACGCCTTAACCAGTTCTACTAGCAACTTCAAAACCAGAAATCCCATAATCCGCTACAGTTATGGTGAATCTTTCGGCATCATGATTGATACTAGTGCTGCCAAGAAATCCATTGTCTGACACGGCCAATTCTTAGCTTATCAGAAGAGCACCAACATTCAACTTGACACTACAATCACCAGAGCTGCGAAAATCCAATTTGGCATAGGGAACACAACTTCAATTGGCTCCGTGGTTATTGACGCTCTCTTTGGCTCGGTTAAATTCCACGTTCTTAATGCTGACACACCCTTTCTACTCAGCATTGCTGACATGGACCTTCACAGCATATATTTGGATAATATTGACAACATACTTGTCTCCTCAACTCGTAGATTCCCTGTGACTCGTCGATTTGGACACCTGCTTCTTCTCTGGAAAACACGCCTACCTTCAAGGACTTACAAACTCGGCCAAGATTGCTTCCTTACATATACTGAGCTCCGCCAACTCCATCGCCGCTTTGGGCATCCAGCTGCCCATTGCCTCCAACTACTGCTAAAGCGATCTGGTCACAATGATGTTAACTATGAAGAAATCTGAAAATTAACTCGCTTCTGCAAACAGTGTCAAAAGTTTGGAAAATCTCCTGGCCAATTTAAATTCAAATTTCGTGACGAGATAAACTTCAACCATGCAATTCTTATTGATATCATGTATATCAGTAATAACCCAATCCTGCATATTGTTGACAAAAGCACCAGGTATCAAGCTGCTCAATGGCTTTGGAAGATGACCTCCAAGCACATATGGGATAAGCTATGCTACGCATGGATAAATACATATCAAGGACCTTCAGATTATGTGATTACCAATGCCGGAAAGAATCTTGTCAGTAAAAACTTTGTCCAAAGTGCAGCCACCATGGCAATAAGGACAAAAGCCGTGTCAGTCGAGGCCCATTGGTCAATCGGAATAGCCGAGCGTTACCACCATGTTTTGCGACAGGCATATAAAACAATAACTCATCATATGTCCGGCACAAACCTAAACAAAAACATGCTATTTCAAATGGCAGTCAAGGCAGTCAATAATACAGCTGGACCGGATGGTCTTGTTTCTACTCTTTTAGTGTACAGGACCTTTCCAAAAATGACCGAGCTAGATCCCCCGGGCCCTTCCGTAACACAGCGAGCAACGGCTACACGTAAAGCCACGGAAGAAATCGACAAGCTTCGCACTAACCGACAAATAAAATAAGCTCTAAGCTCTCGCAATGGTCCATCAACAGTGGCAATTCACGACCTACCACTCAACTCAGATGTCCTTGTCTGGCGAGAAGGCAACATTAACAAGAACGGCAGGTGGACTGGCCCCTTTCCACTTCTTAGCACCAACAGCGAAACTTGCTCCGTACATCTCCCTAGTGGTCCTACTGATTTCCGCAGTACAGTCGTCAAACCATTCCTAATTAAAAACGCTCCAGAAGAAGCTAACTTACCTGATTCGACCTTACAAAATCCAGAAGCTCCTCCATCTCCCTCTCCAATTTTGCCACGTCCTGCAACACCTCCACCCTCCATCAAACCTCGTAGACAAATCCGAACCTCCACCAAATCTCGCATAAGAACAAAGCTATCTAAAGTAGATCAAAACATCTCATCCAATTATCCGGACCTTATATTCAAAAGCAACGTTCTGGATTCACTAACCCTTCCTCCAGATATTACAGAAATCCCAACACCATCATTTGAAGAATCAAGGCGAAGAGAAATTAACGGACTATTAGTAAAAGGAACTTTCAAAGTCGTTCATATCAATAATATCCCGCCTGAAACCAGAATATTCAACACTAGATTTGTGGATGAAATTAAACATCTGGGAGCTGAAAAAGCCTTTGAAAAATCTCGATTAGTTGTTCAGGCCTACAACAATGATGGCAAACATACAATTCTAACCCAGTCACCTACAATCCAACGCTCTAGCCAGAGGCTCGTCCTTGCTCTCGCTGCTATAATGCAAAGGAATGACGTCGGCTTGTATCTACGTGATATTTTCCGGGCATATGTCCAGTCAACCACCAATTTAAATCGCAGATTTTACGTTCGCCCCCCCGCTGAAATCAAGTTACCTCCTGGTACTGCATGGCAAATGCTTAAACCTCTCTATGGGATACCAGAAGCTGGTAACCATTGGTTTAACACATATCATTGGCATCATGTAGACAAACTCAATATGTCCCCTTCAACTTATGATCCTTGCTTACTCCACAGTGATGGACCATGTCTTGAAATAGTGGGCCTGCAAACAGATGATACGATGTTTGTAGCTGATAACAGTTTTGCATTCAAAGAATATCAAGCACTCAAAAATGCCAAATTCTTAGCTAAGTATTGGGAAAAGCTCACGCCATTATCGCCTCTTAAATTTAATGGGGGAATGGTAACACTAGACAAAGGCTCAATAATTCTAAAACAAGCTTGGCAAACTTCAAACCTGAAGCTCGTCGAAACTTTCAAGGCTGAGCTGTCAGGTACCAAGGGGAAAGTACGAAAAGGTGTAACTCCTAAAGATCAATATATTGCTCAATGTGCGCGCGGCGCATACATTGCTAGTATATGTCAACCAGAAGCCTCTTTCGATCTATCTTTTGCTGCCCAGGTTGTTAATACAAAGGAAGAAGATGCAAAACTCCTCAATAAGAGATTAAAATAGCAAATTGACAATTCTGAACAAGGAATAATATTTGTCAAACTTGATATAAATACTTTGAAGATAATTGTTTTCACTGATGCGTCTTTTGCTAACAACGCAGACCTGACATCTCAAATTGGCTACGTGATAGTACTAGCAGATGACAATAATGATGCTAATACCATTCACTGGTCCTCGGTCAAATGCAAACGTTTAACCCGTAGTGTTCTTGCCTCTGAACTCTACAGGATGGCACTAGGATTTGATACTGGCTCTGCTATCAAAACTACCCTTAGTAAAATCCTCAATAGACCAATCCCTCTGATTATTTGCACCGACTCAAAATCCCTCTTCGACTGTCTAGTAAGACTAGGCACAATCCGAGAAAAAAGACTAATGATTGACATTATTTCTCTCAGGTAATTGTACAAACAACGCAAGATTGCAGAAATGAAATGGATTGAAGGTAGCACCAACCCTGCTGACGCAATGACAAAATCGAACGCTTGTTCAGCACTAAGAGATCTCATTGACTCTAATAAAATACATATAAGAGTCACAGAGTGGGTTGACCAGAAATGAAGCTAAATTTTAATAAGAATTTGAAGAGTTGTCAGTGTCGGTACATGTTGGAGTTTGGTGTCTTTAATCATATGATGTAATGTTTACGTAATTAGAAATACTTAATATAACTACTTTCATAGCTTAGAGATAAGAACAGAACCAATTGCAATACAGTCATTGACAGTGCTGTATTTGGAACCCTGGTGATTCCAACACTTCTCTTCTCCCTCTTTTCTTCTAATTTCGCTTTATTTCCAGGAAGGATAGTTGCTAGCTTCTTGGACTTAGGATTTATTGCTGGGAGTAGAAAACAATCATTGGTACTGCAGCCTTGTTGCTCACATCGAAATTATCTGCATTCCATTTTGAGCTTATCAATTTGATCTACTGTCTTCCATATAGGCTGTAGAGGCCTGCTGTTAGGTCCCAACGTCGCTTTTACTTGGCGAGCAACGTCTTTTTGGTGAAAGGTACCTCCCAATGAATGAAGAGGACAGACTCTGGCATAGCAGCCTCGTTTTCACACCGAAAACACCTGTTTTCTTGACGAAGTTCTTCAATTTTTATTGCTGATTTCCATTGTGCTTTCAAATTTTTGGCTCTTGGAACTTGAAACAACTACATTTTTTGTAGTGTTAAAATTGTATGCTGTATATCTCGTTGTATCTATCGTGGCCGTATCTCTTGATGCAATATCTATGGTTGTTGTATCTCTTGTTGTCGTACCTTTCGTAACTAGAGACAGATGAATTATATGTCACACTTCGAATATAGAAAGCGAATGGGCATTTGTATGATTGAAAGGTAAAGCTATAATTCATCCATGGTGAAGCAAACTACCTGTAAGTCTCCCATACTACTTATACTGTTGTGTTATCCATGTAACTTACCGTGGTACATGCTTTAGGTCGCGTCATAGCATATGCATGTGACAGTGGAACTAAACTGTGGGGTGTTTAGTGTGTAATGCATGTGTGGGTATACTGGACCAAGCTAGAACTCGATGGAATAGAGATGATGGAATCAGCGAGAGACTGATAGACCGAGAGGGAACGAGCTGGTCATTTCTCGTAGGAGAGAAATGATATCATAAGGGAATGTTCTAGCACTAGGCTGTGAACAACACAGTAAGTCTGGAGCAAGATATAAGGAGGTCTCAACCTCCATCCATTCACTGTAACTAAGTTTCCTTTATACGAGAATATAGAGTCAAGTCTTACATATCACGAGAACACACGCAACAGCGATTATAGAGACCTACTGTGAGCATAACTTCCCCAAGAGTATCCATCATCCTGCTCCCATACAGCCTATTTAATATAACATATACACATCCAGATGTATCTAAATCTAGCCTACACTTACAGTGGCAATAAAACTGACTAAGGTTTGTTCTGCCACACGGGTAACGCTTCCGATACTCTTGGCACTATCCTTTACGTAGCCTCAGTGGCGGTCTCTGTTGTGGTTATGAGCTGTGAGGTATATAGCAATTATGTTTCTGCTGTCCGTCGGTGGAATTACACGGGCTCATGTGCAATGGTGAGTCGCGGAGATGGCGCGCTCACGCTGGGTGATGGCACGATGGACACTGAGTGCGTATCACTGTGGCCAAATGGGTGTCAGTAGGTATCAAATGTGAACTCTTACTGACGATGGTGATCTATGAAGGTGATGCTAGATGTGCATCCCGACGATTGATAATATCATCTAATGGATGATGTGAAGTATGATATTATATGGATAGATTAATTCACTAAACTCGGCAGGTGAAGAGATTGTAGAGTATATGAACAGCGTCTGTGCACCAGCCTGTATTTTCCACCCTTTCCTAATCCAGCAGCCCATCCTCCGTTCCCCTATCTCCTAACAACTCAACCGAG